CCACGAAAAAAAAAAAAAAAAAAAAAAAAAATACACTGGAGGAAAAAGACCCTTGTTAGCAAATCATGCTTGGAAAGCTAGCAATACACATGCAAGGATGGACGTTAAACCCGTATCTCTCATGTACTAAACTAAAATCAAAATAATTCAAAGATCTAAATATTAAAACAAAATCTTTTGTAAAATAAAATAAATAAAACTCTTGAAGTCATAGGTATAGTCTGCAAAAAAAAGGCCAACTGTACAAAAAGTAACATCAAAAATCAATAAATGAGGTTATATTAAAGTAAGCTTCCATACAGCACAGGAAAGAATCAAGTTAAGAGAACAGGAAAAAAATTTTGTCAGCTACACCTCAGACAGATAGCTAATATCTAGAATATATAAAGAACTCAAATAAATTAACACCCCCCAAATAAAAAACCGACACAAAAAATGGGCAACTGAAATGAATACACACACACTTCTCAGAAGTACAAATGGCCAATAAATACATTTTTAAAAGTGCAACCTCCATGGCCATCACATTGTTGCACATTAAAAAAATTGAGATTCTGTATGACTCCACAAAGAATGGCTATCATCAAGAAATCAAATAGTAAGTGCTGATGAGGCTGTGGGGGAAAAGAAACCCTTTAACATTGTTGGTAGGAATATAAACTAGTACAACCACTATGGAGATGAGTATGGAGATTCCTTCAAAACCTGAAAGTAGAAATTCCATTTGACCCAGCTATTGTATCTTCCTGAAAGAGTTAAAGACATCATATTACAGTGTCACAGGCAGCACAACTCACAACAGTTAAATCATGGAAGCATCCTATGTGCTCATCAACAGATGAATGGATAAATAAAATGTGGAATTTATACACAATGGAGTACTACTCCATTATAAAGAATAAACGAGTCATCTGTAGGAAAATGGATGCACCTTGAGATCACAGTGTTTAGGGGTAATGGAAGTGTCTTCTATGTTTTAATTATACTGCTGACTGCATGCGTGTTTGTGTGTATATATCCAAATCCATATTATTTTATAAATAAAATACATCTATTATATATCCTTTAAAAAGTGAGGTAGTACTGTGCAACTATTAAAATGGCTAAAATCCAAATACTGAACATCAGATGCTGTATGATTCAAACAGTAGGAGCTCTCATTCATAGACATTAACAACATATAATGGTAGAGACACTTTGGGTGTTTTTTACAAAAATAAATATACTTCAACACACAGAACAGCAATCACTTAAAAACGTATCCAAGTAATTTGAAAACTTAAGTCACACAAAAAACCAAAACCCCACAACTAAATGTAACTGTTTTATACATAACCACCACGATACCCTTCAACAGATGAATGGATAAACTGATCCATCCACATAATGGAATATTACTCAGCAATAAAAAAACACACACACACATACACATACACTGGTGAAACTTTGTGTACTACTAAGTGTATGATGCCAATATGAAAATGCTAAATAAAGACTGATATGTATAATGGATGTTGGGAAATGGGAAGAAAGGGTTCAAATGGGAAGGGGAACAAGGAAGAAGGGAGGGAGAAGGAAAGAAAGCAACAAGAAAAAAAACCTGAAAATATAAGGAAAAAAGGAAACACAGCTTTTGTACATAGGGAGGGGAGGGGGTTGGGAGGATGGGATAAAATTTATATAAAAAAAAAAAGAAATGAAGGCAAAAGGACCTGCAGATAAGTACTGCATTTCACTGCATAGTTGTTACCCTTGAAGGTACAGGTTAACAATTCTGATACTGCCATATGTGTGTATGCTGGAAGTAAATAGATAGTAGGAGCCAAGTTTCTCATTACTGTAGTAGGAATTTACAGATAAGAAAGGGGAGAAGGCTAGGATAATTCAAGTGGTAATGACTTAGATGTGGAGAAGTAAAAATTTATGTTTAACTTAATATAAATGCTAGATACACAGAAATATGTATTATTGCCGGGCGTGGTGGCACACACCATAATGCCAGATCTCAGGAGGCTGAGGCAGGATCTCTGTGAGTTCAAGGCCCACCCGGAATACACAGTGAGTTTGAGGCCAGCCTGAACTGCAAAGCAAAACCCTGTCTCAAAAAATAAAAATAAAAATAAATAAATATATATTATAAGTATGTGCATATAAGTGAGTTAGTATATTTTTTATATAAATTCTGTCAGCTGAGAAGGCCTACAAGAAACAACACCCCAGATGCAAAATAAACACAACTAAGCCCCAGATCTTGGTGCATGATACCATTCTGCAATAAAAGGAACCATGGCCACAAGGAGAAATGGCTGACTCTAGGACTGGGTAGGAAATATAAAAGATGAACTTGGAACATCTTGAAGTGCCAGAAAGCAAGGAAACGGTCAAAAAACAAAAGTAAAGAACAAATTCACAATGGTAGGGATATAACAAAAATACACAGGT